CCCTGATTAATCATAGAAGATACTTATTTAGTCATTTTCATTATGAAAAGGCAATTTAATGCTCTACTGAAATTAAGATTATCTATGTTTATCCCAAATGTTATTATATTGCCTACCATTTTTATTGGTTGACATAATGCTGGCTTTCTTGATAATCCTCATCAAGTGGAGGAAATTGGCCATTTATTTGATCATATTTTATGTTCATTTTATACAAAGAGGCTGTTTCATAGTTTGCTTCCCGTGGTAACCCATCACAAGTGTTGATTGGTTTTAGATTGCACAGGATTGCAGGTTGTCTCTGAAAATCTTACTATTTTTCCTCTGTGAATTTAGCTTAAAGTTCAACTACCCTGAGTAATGAGCTCCTTTTTTCCATTGTCCTATAAGAAATGTTTAAAACAAGAACATTATACATATCCCTTAAGTAATAATACCACTTCTGTTTAAGCTGCATTAGTGACCAGTGTGTTTCTGGATGCAATTACCTTTGAAGCCCTTCATAAAACTGGAATACCTTTTAGGAATAGGATATTTTATTGTCACCTTGAATGTACACTAATCAGCATACATTAAAATGAAATTACGTTGCATAAAGCTCTCAGAGTCTCCACCTCTAAACATAAACATGACAAGATAAATAAATAAATACAAAATTATGCATGTACCCATGTAGTTCTGCTAAAGATGCTTCAAAACCTCCTCCCAGAGGAGAGCAACGGAAACAGACCATGAAGTGGGTGTGTGGGGTCTCTAACAATGCTTTGAGCTCTAAGCACATAGAGCTCATAAATTAACTTGCTCTTGTTTATGGATGTTACATACACAAGAGCAAGTGGATGTTTTTGGTGTTTTTCTTGTCTTAAAATATTTTAGTATTTTTAACTGTAGTACACACAAACAGCTAAAGTAATTGACTGAGATGAATGCAGAGGTGGTATTCAGCAGTTATGGAGAACCAGTAGTGGAAATTTTGAGTAGTTCAAAAAACTGGCAAATGCTACCTCTGACTGGAGATTTTACAGTCCCTTTCCCTGCCACACCCACAGAACCTGTAGTAAAAAAAATTGAATCCCACCACTGGATGGATGGCTGTAGAATTTAAAAGAGGAGGAGGAGGAGGAAAAAGAGGCCTTGAAAGCTTGCCCTGGTTTCTCTCTGTCCCATCTATGCTAAACAAAATCAAGGTGAAATTATTTCCAGATTTTTTTTCACACTTGCTTCAGTTTCTGGACTTTGTAAAATTATATCCAAGGCTCTCCTTAATGTTCCAATCCTTCCTTCTACTATGCTTTCCCCCTTAATGATTGTCTCATATCTCCTCCAAGGTCAACCTGCATCTCTTTACAGGTTATAAGCTTTATATTTTAAGTTAGCATTATGCTGCTGCTACTTTGTATCAAAAAATGAATTGGGTGGGATCTTTAACCCAGGTCTTGGGTAAACAAATCATCATCATAAAATCAAAAATTGCATATCAACACTCTGTGCAACAGGCTTGTTTAAATATGCTTGTATTTAAGGGCAAGAAAAAAATGAAACAATATGTTCCTGGTGGCTGGGCAGACTTTTCCCCACCCCCAATTCAATCTTAGCTTCAACAATTATATTTATACATGTTGAAGAATAATGACCGTATTTCATTTCCCTTGGTGTGAATTAGAACAACTCATATGAAGTTTATGAAATGGCTGGAGATTTATGTTGGTGTCGTTAAAAGCACAACTGGCCCATTATGGTTTCATTATGGGGACTCCTGTGGTGTTGTAGAAGACTCAATTAAAAACCATCTCTGCTTATTGGTTAAAAAGACAAATGTTTTAAAGATTTTCCTGTTCTGCTCCGAGGACTATGATACACATGGAAATTGGTAAGCTGTGTATTGTCCTTTGAGATTGTTGTTATTCCCTTTATTCTACAGTGGCCAGATTTGTGCAAAGTATTAGGGAAAGGTACATTTGATGAAATCTGCAGTGAGGCTTACAGAGGAAAAATAATGGAAAATGTAAGCCAAAGTTACTCCATTGAGAACTTGAAGTTTATGCTTTCAAAAGATGTTCAGATATTTCATAAGCTTAATAAAAAGCCAGCTGCCCTTGATATTCTCTGGAAAAGTAGACAGGTCATAACTTTGTTGTGATCAATACATACAGCATATAGTCCTGTTCAGATGCTTCTATATTTTATGTTTGAAAGTGGTTCAGCTAGGTGTCAGTAGGAAAATAAATGGAGAAATTTCTCAACGCATTCACCTCTCCTCATTTCTATTTAATGACACTATTAGTTGGCAGCAAACCGATAAACTGAAATAAAAAGTAGAAAGAAAGTTTGTAGAATGTTAGTAGTAGCATCAAATAATAATTTATTGTAAACTACAAGAAGGGCAGAGAATTAACTGGAGACATTCAAAGGCCTGGAAAAGCCCTTTTTTCTTGGTTTTGCTCTTAAGTTTTCCTTTGTGAAGCAAAATTATAAACACAAACAAAAATATAGTCACTATAGATATGCTCCATCATTTTCAGGAAAAGATAGAGAGCATTTGTAAGCAGTCAGTTCAGTTATCTGGGAGACTGAAGAGTGTGGATAACCAATAATAGTTAACTTCATCATTTGGGCTAAACTATTTCAAATGAAGGTTTTGTTTCTATGGGTCATACATATTTCTGCTTTTGGTTTTAATTTTTAATGGAAATTAAATTAAATTTATTATGGATCTGTTTTCAAACCTTACATCTTATCTTTTAAAAAAATCTCATTGGGAAGTTCCTAATCATTTTAGTTTCCCTTTTGTGAACTTTGTCCTGTTTTTGTAATAATCATTATAACAGTAATATCACTATTATTGGCAGTTTTATATTCAACATCTTTTTTTAATAGTTTCTTCTCCTGTACATTAGTTTCCTCCTTTTTAAAAGATGCTTGAAGAGAAAGAAACACTAAAAATAGACAATATACTTTTTATTCAAATAGACACTCATCATGCTCTAGAATAGATATGATATTGATGTCAACGGAACTGAGTGCTGGCCGACGACCAAAGAAGTCGAAAGCAGACTCCAGACAATGGAGATGCGAATGCTCCGATGGTCGGTAGGCCTCACCCTACTCGATCGTGTCAGGAACGAAGAAGTGCGTAGACGGTTCAACGTCGTGCCCATCCCCACGGTCCTGAGGCAGTCCCGGCTACAATGGTTCGGCCATGTGAGTCGCGCCAAGGAAGAATCCATCATCAAATCTGCGATGAAGGTGACTGTCGGAGGAGCGAGACCGCGTGGTAGACCTAAGCAACGCTGGATGGACACGATCAAGGCCGATTTAGAGATCGCGAAGGCAGACCCGACATACGTGGCAGACAGAGAGGCGTGGAAGCAGTACTCAAGGACATTAGCGGACCTCGCCAGAGCGCGAGACAAACGCTGAAGAAAAAGAAGAAGAAGAAGTCAACGGAACTGATTTCTAATAAAAAGGAAATTGATATAGAAACAGGTACATGGGTGGACCATAATCCAATGACAATTAAATGGAAAGGACAAAGGAAATTGCTAACCTTTCTTAATTCCTCTTCATAGGATTTAGTTTTCAGTCCTAAAATCATTTTTGTTACCCATCTTTAAATCTATTCTCTGAACTTTGTCTGAAACCTTCTTAAAATGCAGTGTCCAGAATTGGGCACAATACTGACATTTGACTAACCAACAGAAAGAAATATCAGAATAAAAAATGAAAGATTAAGGGATAAAACTATATTTATTCTTATACCTGTATCTTGTAAGCGATTGACAAATCAAATCAAATGTAAAAAATAAAATGTAAATAAATAAATAAAACACACACAAGGGAAAGGACAATCTGTGCAAGATAAAAGAGGACAGAATAATATATACTCAAAACCAGCAGCCTCATATTTGGCTGCAAATGCCTAGTAATCAGAACAATTAAGTAAAAATAGATCTAAGCAACTCTAGGGAGTGTTCCTGTTGTTTGACTTCATCTTTTCTCTTGACTGTCTCCACGACTGTTTAAAGGTGTCTTATTGGAACATTCTCAGAGAATGTGATTCATTCTAAGCCCATAGTCCAATTTACTGTCATTCAGTAAAGCTCAGTGTCAGCCCAAGATCTGGCTTTGCCATAAAAAGAAACTGAAATAGTTATGTAAGAATTGTTACTACATCTTTCCTCCTAGATATTTTCTCTGCAAAGCTGAAATGCTAACATATTGACAAGAGTCTTACATTCTTACTTCTAATATTTTTTTTAAAAAAGAAGTTATTTTATTTGTACTTGGAATTAATTACATAACATTAATTATACACAACACCATTGCATGGAAACGCACACATTTATGTAAAAATTCAGGCATAGGTTAGTTTAATTTCACTTGCTTGCTTTATTTATAGCTATCATGTTTTTATATGTCATAAAAACTTCCAAATACAAAGAGAGCAAAGGAATAAAGAGAAACAAACAACTATAGAAAAAATGTAAAAAGAAAGTGATTTTCAACTACTTTTACAAAAGATACAAGCAAAGCTTAAATTCAACCATTAGTTTAAAACTATAGTATCCATTTTTCAAATGCTCAGTAATTTTTACCAATCATCCAATTCATGTCAATTTGTTTTTTCCATTTCTTGCAAAAAGACCACAAGGACTTTTGTTCAGTTAAATTTTATCAATGTCTTTTCACTAATGAGAGCCGATAATTGTGCCATGTCTGCCATTTCCATCACCTGTTTGTTTTATCTCACTAATAAGGCAATTCTATCTGCCGACATCTATTTATTTTGTAGTGAATGAGAAAATGGGCATGTTTTTCTCCATGCGTCTTACTATCAAAATACATTGTTTATATGCAATTGATCTTAAAATATTGCACATTTTTATTAACATGCATTTTAGCATAAAATACCTATTTTATATTTACACCATGTTTTATATTTTATACAAATTTGGTATATCTTTAAAAGTAGAAAGTACAGGTGAAACTCAAAAAATTAGAATATCATGCAAAAGTTCATTTATTTCAGTAATGCAACTTAAAAGGTGAAATTAATATATGAGATAGACTCATTACATGCAAAGCATGATAGTTCAAGCTGTGATGTGTCATAATTTAGATGATTATGGCTCACAGCTCACGAAAACCCCATATCCACAATCTCAGAAAATTAGAATATTGTGAAAAGGTTCAATATTCTAGGCTCAAAGTGTCCCACTCTAATCAGCTAATTAAGTTATATCACCTGAAAAGGCTTCCTGAGCCTTTAAATGGTCTCTCAGTCTGGTTCAGTTGTAATCACAATCATGGGAAAGACTGCTGACCTGACAGTTGTGCAGAAAACCATCGTTGACACCCTCCATAAGGAGGGAAAGCCTCAAAAGGTAATTGCAAAAGAAGTTGGATGTTCCCAAAGTGCTGTATCAAAGCACATTAATAGAAAGTTATGTGGAAGGGAAAATTGTGGAAGAAAAGGGTGCACAAGCAGCAGGGATGACCGCAGCCTGGAGAGGATTGTCAGGAAAAGGCCATTCAAAAGTGTTGGGGACTTTCACAAGGAGTGACTGAGGCTGGAGTCAGTACATCAAGAGCCACCACACACAAACGGATCCTGGACATGGGCTTCAAATGTCGTATTCCTCTCGTCAAGCTGCTCCTGAACAACAAACAACATCAGAAGCATCTTACCAGGGCTAAAGAAAAACAGAACTGGTCTGTTGCTCAGTGGTCCAAAGTCCTCTTTTCTGATGACAGCAACTTTTGCAACTTTTGCATTTGGAAACCAAGGACCCAGAGTCTGCAGGAAGAATGGAGAGGCACACACTGCAAGATGCTTGAAGTCTAGTGTGAAGTTTCTACAGTCTGTGTTGATTTGGGGAGCCATGTCATCTGCTGGTGTTGATCCACTGTGCTCCATTAAGTCCAGGGTCAACGCAGCCGTCTACCAGGAGATTTTGGAGCACTTCATGCTTCCTTCCTCAGACGAGCTGTATGGGGATGCTGACTTCATTTTCCAGCAGGACTTGGAACCTGCCCACACTGCCAAAAGCACCAAAAACTGTTTCAATGATGGTGGGATTATTGTGCTTGATTGGCCAGCAAACTCGCCTGACCTGAACCCCATAGAGAATCTATGAGGCATTGCCAAGAGAAAGATGAGAGACATGAGACCGAACAATGCAGAAGAGCTGAAGACCGCTATTGAAGCATCCGGGTCTTCCATAACACCTCAGCAGTGCCACAGGCTGATAGCTTCCATGCCACGCCGCATTGAGGCAGTCATTGCTGCAAAAGGGGCCCAAACCAAGTACTGAGTACATATGCGTGCTTATACTTTCAGAGGTCCGATATTGTTCTATGTACAATTATTGTTTTATTGATTGCATATAATATTCTAATTTTCTGAGATTGTGGATTTGAGGTTTTCATGATCTGTAAGCCATAATCATCACAATTATGACAAATCACGGCTTGAACTATCTTGCTTTGCATGTAATGAGTCTATCTCATATATTAGTTTCACCTTTTAAGTTGCATTACTGAAATAAATGAACTTTTGCACGATATTCTAATTTTTCGAGTTTCACCTGTAGCATCGTAGAATTCAGGGAAAAAATGAATGCATTCCAATCAGAATATTCAGTTGGATTATACAAATCAATCAAGTAGATTTGAATAAAAAGAAAGCACAATGAAATTGTTGAGCATTTGTAGGAATGCAGTAACACTGATTTTTAAATTTCAGTGATCCAGCAGGGTAGAAAACAAGAGCTGGTCCATTTCTAGATCATGTAAAATTCTGTAAACCGTCAGATTTAATTCTTGTTTTCATTGTCACCTGGTAAACTGAAACAATTGTCATTCATGGTTATTTATAGCACTCTTCATCACACTATAATTTAGAGCATTTCCTGTAAAACCTCAGTCCCAGACTTGTGGTTGAATTTAGTTTGTTTATTTGACTTTTCCCACAGCTGCATCCCCCAGATATGTTGACTATATGTTGAATTTTAACATACAAATGTAGAAATCCACAAATTGATAATCATTGATGATTACATTTCAGTGAATAGAAAAAGCAAGGAATGAGTTGAAGTAAAAACTGATTTAGGACAAAATATTCTTCTAAGTTATATGAATGATAGGTGAATGATAAGAAAAAGTGATCGGGCTGTTTAGCCCAGATTTTAGCTCAAAAATTAACTTTAAAAATATACTTCGGTGAATTTCTTATTATGAAAAAGTCTGCTTGTTTTAATGAATTAATTTAGAAAAATTATTTATCACTAATACATGATTTTTAGTTACACAGGAAAAAATAATTAATATAAATCTAAATTCATGATTGGTTACTGATGAAAAATACATCTGATTGCTGATAAATGTGATGAAAAATTGAGAAAATTAGTGAAGTATGCCAGGGTGATAAAAGGTTCCATTTTGGTGATGTCAGCAGTGAAGCTTCAGAAAATGGATGTGAAAGGGGAGAAAAGGTATTTATGGGGCCAAACATCTTCAATATCGCCCAAACCAATATCATGTTTCAATAAAGGCAATATGATGGAACACAAGTGGAATAACAGAACTTTTCAAAAAGAAAACAGGAAATCAGCCTCTTCCATCTTTCTCCCCTTTCTTCATTTACAAAACTTCTTTCCATCTTCTATGTCCCTTTTCATAATTTATGAAAATATCTGCAAAGTGGGGTGTACTTTTGCATGAATTCCAATTTTGGTTATTCTTTTCTTTTACATGCTTTCCCATCTCTATATAAGGAGACTTAACATTAGGTAATGTTAATGTTAAAAGGGACATGGTGGCTCAGTGGCTAAGATGCTGAGCTTTTCAATCAGGAAGGTCAGCAGTTCGGCAGTTCAAATCCCTAGCGCTGCATAACGGAGTAAGCTCCTGTTACTTGTCCCAGCTTCTGCCAACCTAGCAGTTTGAAAGCATGTAAAAATGCAAGTAGAAAAATAGGGACCACTTTGGTGGGAAGGTAACAGCGTTCCGTGTGCCTGGCATTTAGTCATGCTGGCCACATGACCACGGAGACGTCTTCGGACAGCGCTGGCTCTTCAGCTTTGTAACTGAGATGAGCACTGCCCCCTAGAGCCAGAAACGACTAGCATGTATGTGCGAGGGGAACTTTTACCTTTTACCTTTTAACATTAGGTATACAAGCATCCTGTTGATCCTACTAATAAATAAATAAATATAAATACAGGTATTTAAACATAGTTTAAACAATCAAATGCTTAAATTATTCTTGATGCTACAGGATCCAGTTGGGTCAGTCACCTGGACCAGAGGTTTAGTCTTCCAAACTTTCAGTCTCATGCTGGAGCCCATCCTCAGGGAACTTCTCTCTAGCACAGGAGTGTCAAACTCGCAGCCCGCTGGCTGGATGCGTCACACTCTGGCCACGCCCACCCCCATTTTAGCAAAGGGAAAAAAATGTACGTCACGTGATGACAATATGACACTGCGAATTTGACACCCCTGCTCTAGCAGAATGTGTGCTTTGGGCTATTCTATGTGTAGTATTTATGCGGTGCCTGGTTGTGTGTAGCTTTTAGTTTTTGAGTGGGGTGTTGATGACTGGCTATTAAGTTATTGGTGTTATTTCCTATTCTTGATACTTTGCAGAGTTGGTGAAGTTGATAAGGTTTTTGGGACGGCCCTAACCATTGAACAATATGATGTGTGTGTTAATGTTGGTTTTCAAACATATGCTTAGTTTTCTTCAAGTTTCTTTTAATCTCAGCCTTCTGAGAGGAAATCAAAAGCATTATCTACTGAGGATAGAATTATTGTGCTGTGAAAAATCTTTCTTTCTTTGCATTTGATCCCGCTTACCCCCTGTGGAAAGACACATTCACAATTTTCTCTACTAAACTGGAAAAAAAAACACCACCAAACAGCAATGTAAAAAAAAAAGGCTAACACCAAAGCATTATGTTTGTCTCCACTGCTTTATATTTTTAGCTGGAAGATACTAAACTGGGTAAGTGTAGATGTTGCCCTTAAATTCGTTTATTGTGCATTGGATTGGAAAGGTTTAAGAAATGTAATACGTTTTTTCTCACAAAGGGCCAGCTTTCCAAATTGTGCATTTTATTTCACTCCTACCAGTTTCATTAAACCAAGACATGCTTCTGAAGGGATGGGGGAGGGTGTTTCTTCTAGTTCCTTTCAGAAATGTATTATATCAGTGCCTCCATAAAAGCTTTGTAGTGTTGCCAGTCTTATCTGGCAACACTACAAACTCTCTGCAATATAAGCTAAATCCGTGAACTCCTAAATGCATCTAGTGAGTGTCAAACGTTGAGGCTGTGGACTGAATTTTCTGGCCTTATCTTTGCTAGCTAATCCTTTGTTGTGGAATTCAGTATGAGTGATGTCATCTGGTTGGGTAATAAAACAACTACAAGCAATCAAACAAGCCCAAGGTGCATTAAGAAATCCACTCTGAACTACATGTATTCTCTTCTATTGATTGGTCATTCTTCTGGTAGTGTCCAGGGACTTCAGACTGTTGATAAGTCTTTCTCTGGATATGAGTCCTCAGTTCAATCAGGCAAGAGAGGGTTTCTTAATGATGGTGCTTCATTTGGGATCTCCCTCCATAATCAATTGCAGCTGGTACCAACTCCTGCACAATTTCAGCAGTGGCCAAAAAGTCATATTTCCATCTGGACTCTCAGTTCAACTTGTGCTTTTCTTTCATTGTTCTTGCTACCCATTTTTCTTTTATCATTTTCTTCAAGACTGGACCATTATATGTCTCTGCTTTTATTGTGTTTTATCTTTTAGATGATTTTATCTGTTTTTATCTGTTTTACTGTTTTATCAAGACACTCTTGATAATGAACATAGAAACTAAATAGGATAGATAGATAGATAGATAGATAGATAGATAGATAGATAGATAGATAGATAGACAGATATAATGAACATAATGAAAATAATGTGTTGCAATGGACAGAATTTTCCTAGGTTCTGTTCTTGGATGTAGTCCATTCAAACTTTGGTTCAATATTTTAAAAGAGTAAATAGATCCATATTTGTCATTCAAGGAGTCAATAAAATAAGTCAGTTAACATTTAAAAAACAGCATGTCCCCCATATACACTTGTTTACTGGGCCAATTACTTCAAACATGAAAAAAGAGAAAATATTGACATAAGAAGTTATATTAAAGGGGTGAGGATGGTACAAGCAGTATGCTGCCACCTGATCTATTTGAATTTTAAAAAGTTCTGATTGAATCCCTGATTCTGACTGAAGCCCTACAAAAATCATTGTCATCATTATCATTGAGCTGTGGTGGCGCAGTGGTTAGAATGTTGTATTGCAGGTTAATTCTGACTGCCCACAGTTCGATCTTCACTGGCTCAAGGTTCACCCAGCTTTCTATCCTTCCAAGGGTAAAATGAAGACCCAGATTGTTGGGAGCAATATGCTGACTCTGTAAACCACTTAGAGAGGGCTGTAAAGTGCTAAGGAGCAGTATATAAGCCTGCTTTGCTATTGCTATCATCTTCATTGTCATTGTCTTCATCACCATACTCCTTTTCATGGAGGCCTAAAATTATTCCATTTCCCAATTTTTCAAAAACATCCCAATTCTTTTCTTTAAAGCAGCCTGGTAAAAGTTAACCTTGCTTTCAGAAGCCATAAAGAGCTGCAACATTCATAGTCCTAAAGGTCTGCACAAGTGAATACACACCGTTCAAAGCGATGGACAACTCCTGGGTAAAGAGGAGAAAATGAAGCAACTATTGTGTTCACTTCAATACCAGGCCAAACATCCTTTAACCCAGTACCATGCATAAGAAGGAACCTTCATTTCTTTTCATGAAGGAATAAGATTTGTCTGCTTGAATTAGATTTGAACTCAAGGGAATTCTAAGCGTAGCTGAATGAAAATGAAGTTGGCTTTTACTTTGGGAGGAGGGCAAGCCCTAATCAAACATGACTACTTAATAAAAGGGAAGATGCTTAAAGCAGATTGCTAGAAGGTTTTCCTCAGTTCTCTAGAAAACAAGTTTTCTAGAATCCCCAACCTTTTTGATTTTGTGGACCAGTGGCGGAAGCTTTGGTGCATTTTGACCGAGTTGTTGTGGCCTGCCAGCAGCTGACAGAGCTGGCAGCAGAGTTGGACAGCGAGGAGGTTGGGGAGGAACCTAGGCAAGTCCTGGAGGCTGAGGAAGGCTCGGATGAGGGCTCTGCATCAGAGGCAGAGATGGGGCCAGGGCAGGCTGGCAATCATCAGCTGCCTTTGGGCTCGGACAGCAATGAGGCAGGGGAGCTTCTGGAACCAGTTCCCAGCCTGTGTATATGCAGAGCTGCCAAAAGGAAGGAACAATTAAGAACTCAGGGTCAATGTGGGAGTAAGGCCACAGGTGGATGATGAATGGCCCCTCCTATAAGGATTAAAAGAGGAGAAAAAGGGGAGGGGGCTTTTGCAGGAAACAATTCATTTGTTTGTTCATTCATTTCAGCCTTGTGAAGATTTGTCTGTATAACCTAGAGACTCTGTGTCCAGCCCTTCCCTGTCAGCACTGCGTGTGGAAATATTTACCAGGCAGATTTTCAAGCTAGATAAGGTTTGAGCTAATAATTATACCTTTGCAAGAATGTTTGCCAGGCTGTTGACTGAATGTGAATGCAATAAATTCACATTCATTTAATAAAAGAAGTTTTGCAGGGACTCAGAGTTTGCTTAACACTTTTGGGGGAAGCCTAGGACACAACACAGAGATGGGGGTGGTTTCACACTCACAACCTAAATCGTCCACATGTGCAAATGAAGCTTCGTGCATTAGCCCACTGCTTCAGTGGCCTGGTTCCCAACAGACCGTAGTCTGGTAGTAGTCTGCAGCCCAGGTGTTGGGGACCCCTGCTCTAGAACATGCAAGGAACTAGCTACCTAGTAGCTTTGTCAGATGATGATGATGATGATGATACAAAATGCTCAAGTCCAGAACAGAAATGAAAGCAGATAAAAATATTTTATTATTTTTACAAAATAATACAGTAGATTGTTTTGAAATCCACTATTCCTTGTTCAATTTCTATGGGAATGACCCTTCTGTTTATTTGCCTTTTGGTGTGTGCTTGCATTATACCCTTCCCCCAACCAAAATTTATTTCCTCTAGGGAGGCTGGTACAATTCTACTTTGAGAAGACATTTGACATCTCCATCCAGGTGATGTTACTGATCTTTTAAAGACTTTATTCCTCGCAGTATAAGTTTTTACTGAAGCTAGATTCCTATGGCCAATTTAATGGGAAATACATTTTCATGTACATTACATGCACTTATTTGTGTACGTATGTCAACACACCTGCCTTTTCCTATCAATGTATATTTTCCCTATAATGAAGACCATTAAGAAGGACTTTTTCCTGCTCTCAGCTATCTTCCTAAGCAAGGGAATGATAGTATAATGGTAATATTTCTGGTTATTTAATTGAGATAATTTTAAATGTGGGAGCTTGTTTTAATAATTAGCAATATTTAAAATATATTACTCCTTTGTATCTAGCCCAAAGGACTATCTAAGCATCTGAAAAATGCAATTTCTTTCCAGTGGGCTTGTAAAATCTGCCTTTAATTATGTACTTTCCTGCTCTTTCCGATTAGGAGTATCCCTCTAGTTTATGCTAAGAAACACCTATTAATAACAGTCAGAGGACAACATCTGTTATTTGAACTCACATGCTGGTCAAGCAAATCCTTGACAAGATAACACAGGGAACATGTACTGCAGAGAACACAGCTGCTTTGAAGATCTATAACAAAGCTTCATCATCAAGTTCCTTGGCCTGGAATAATTTATTGCCTTATTGACAGGGGCTGATAAACAGAGATGAGCATCTAGTAGACTGTTTGGGAGTATCTTCAAAGAAAGGGAAACTGCTGTATATTGATGTCAATGTCATGAAAAAAAATTCAGAAATTGGGAACAGAGTCTTTAATAAGATAAAAATGGTATTCAGGGCAAAAGTCTACTCCAAGAGAAATATGATTAATTTTGTCCATTATGATTTGTATCAATTGCTTTTTCTAAAATTCAGTAGTCATGTTTAATAGGCTGTATTATTAAGACAGTGTTCCAGAATTTTCTTCATAGGTACAGGGAGTTGGTCCCTTAGTTACTTTCTGTTTTGTTTATGAAATTGTTTAGACCAGGGGTGTCAAACTCATGGCCCGCAGGCTGGATTCATCACATGCTGGCCCCGCCCCCACCCAGTTTAGTGAAGGGGAGGGAAGTCCCCATATGTCACGTGACACCACCATGATGACCTGAGTTTGAATCCCTGGTTTAGACAGAGTGCCTTTACCTGAAAGCTTACCTAAGTGATTTAAGTAAGGATTTGCTTTCAGAAAAATGTGCTTGTTTGGTTTTTGTTTTTTTTGGTCTGCTTTGTTTTACTTAAAAAAAAAAAATGGATGCTCAGTAGAAATAAATTACCAAACAAGATTTATTTATTGCAACATTCAAAGGATTTAGTCAAAAACATTCTCCTTGCCACAGCTCCAGTATGCTTTTTTTTTTAAAATGTCCTCACAGAGGTACCCATATTTTGGAACTAACTTTATGCTAAGTTAGAGCAATTAGAGCATGAGTCGTGGTGGTGCAGTGGCTAGAATGCAGCACTGCAAGCTGCTTCTGCTGACTGATGGCTGCAATTTGGCAGTTCGAGTCTCACCAGATCCAAGTTTGATTCAGCTTCCATCCTTCCAAAGTTGGTAAAATGAGGACTCAGATTTTTAGGGGCAATATGTCATCACTCAGTCATCACTCAGTAAACCACTTAGAGAGGCCTGCAAAGCACTATGAAGTAGTATATAAATCTAAGTGCTATTGCTATTGCTAAGGCAGACTGAATATTGCTATTGCTAAGGCAGCAGTATTTTTTTATCAGAAAATAGACCTCGACTTCCTAAGGAAAAATTATGTGCCTCTTGTAGAGCTGTCTTTGGAAAGTCATCCTCCTATGAGTCTTTTATTGACTCAATTCAGGGCTACTTTCTCCCATCTGAACACAGGAGTCTGAAGCTGTGGCTAAGAGCCACGGTGGCACAGTGATTAGAATGCAGTACTGCAGGCTAACTCACTGCTCACTCCAGCAGTTCGATGCTGATTGGCTTGAGGTTGACTCAGCATTCCATTGTTCCAAGGTCAGTAAAGTGAGGGCCCAGATTGTTGGGGGCAATATGCTGACTCCTTAAAAACCCACTAAAGGAGCCAAGTTGTGTTCTGGAATACTGTTAGAGATGGGTTCACCTTTCTCTCTTATTGTTCAGATGTGAGAGAGAAAGCTCACCACTGATACCCTTGCTTTGATGTCCCAAATGGTAAAATACCATAGGAGTCAGGGACCAGAGCATTGGGCCCCTCTTCTTGATCTTATTGGAAGAGTTACAGTTCTAAATACTTTTCATGGGCAGCTCCTTATAGAGTGAATTGGCATAATCTGGATGAGAGATGACTAGGGTATAAGTCAGAGGTCTCTGAACTTGGCAACTTTAAGACTTGTGGACTTCAACTCCCAGAATTCTCCAACTACCATAGCTGGCTAGAGATTTCTGGGAGTTGAAGTCCACAAGACTTAAAGTTGCCAAGTTTGGGGACCCCTGGTAAACAAGTGATCATCAAAAGAGCTTTTTGATGCTGAAATGGCCACACAGGATGGACCTGTGCAAGCCCTTCCTGGCCACATCCTCCACCTGCTCCTAAGTCATTTGTTCTCACTTGCTTTCTTGATCAATAAGCAAGAGCAAATTTGTCAAAGAGACACAGGGTGATTAGCATTCCAGAATCATTTGAACAGTAAAAAAAAATAGAAAGTGTATGAAAACGAATGATGCAGAATATAACAAATGAGAGAGTAAAGAATGTGAAGCTAATGAAATTGCTGACCTGCTGTCATAAATTCTTTTTGGGTCAGTTTCCTACATTTTCATAAGGTGGCATCTAAAAAAAACAAAACCCTGTTTGGAGAGTAACCCATTTGGAGTTAGGTGACTTTAGTAAATTTAGATCAATTTAGATCAAGGGAATTTAGTAAATGGAATTATTACAGTTTCCAGGACACTGTCTGGGTCTGGAATGTTGGCTGTATCTGATCATAGAATTGTAATTCCATGTTTGAATTGCATCATAAAACATTGACTATAAAATATAAGTGATAGGTCTTTTGTTCTTCTCTGAGGTCATTCTAGATATGGTATAGTTAATGTGATTATGCCGGAGAGAATGTAGACTTAAAACCACTGTGCACATGGTCCCTCAATTAATATTAAGTACCATTGCAACAGGACTATCCAGAACTTCATGATAGAATTTGTATATATATTCTTCATTTGAAGAATATCCATATGCATGTGATCTCCGCTACAAATAGATTAATTGCAACATGTCCAGAATTTCTTTGAAGTCAGGCAGCATCTAAATCTAAATATATAAATAAATTCAACATGCAAATTGTTGTGATACTCAATGTGAGTTGCTTCATTTACCCCAAAAATATGAACTCTTGCTTCCCTTGCTAGCTGAATCAACTGTAACATATTTATTAAGTTCTCCTTTTACTGGTCCAGCCCTTTATAGAGACCCCTTTTTAGAAATGAGCCAATGACATAGAATGCCAACAAAACTCAATTATGGTTGTGGGAGTGAGTGACATTCAACAACTGATGACTTGTATTGATAATACTAGTTCAGGGATCTGCAACCTTAAATACTCAAAGAGCTGTTTCCCACAGAAAAGAAAACACTAGGAACCAATAATTTATCAACCGGTGTGACTGAGTGGGTGTGGCCAACTCAACATCCCTCCCACTCAGTCACATGATTCCCCCCGCCAACCTACCCAGCCAGTCATTAGGCAGAGAACCAGTTGTTAAAATTGTTTGCCCCGCCTAACCCCACCTCATCCCTCCTTCCCAGCCACCTCTTGCCACACCCAGCCGCGGGTGTGTTGTTCACACACACACACACACACACACTTTTTCCTCTCTTTTTCCTCTCTTTTTCCTTTTTCCTTTCTTTCTCTCCCTCTCTCCTTTCTCTCTCCTCTCTCCTTTTCCCCTTCCCTCTCTTCCCTCTCCTCTCTCTCCCTCTCTCTCTTCTCTCTCTCTCTCTCTCTCTCATTCACCAAAAAGTTTTGGTCATTTCATTTCATCTAAAAAAATTGACAATCTCCATATTTTTGTGGACCACCATATCAGCCAAGGATTGACACCATGAATTCATGGCATATCATATTCATCTCCCCTTAGGTACCATTCATAGGAGTCCAAAAAATTAAATAAAATCAGTATGTTAAAGGAAATCTCATATTTGCATAATCTGTGTTTTTTTGATATACTGTATATTCTGGGCATTGGGGGTCCTCAGATCACCAATTGGTCATCATCAGGCAGAGTCTTTTTAGGAAGAGCACCAACTTTATGAAACTTTATACCGAAGGAACTTCACTTTGTATCTTCTCTTTCGATTTTTAGGTAACTGGTAAAACAAATTCATAGAAATATAAGATTATTTTTTTTTAGCTTAACAGTTGTTCCTTCTACGTAATGTATGAATACTGATTTATGGTGGTTCTTTAGTAGGTTTCTTTTTCTTATTTGGAGAAGCAGTGACTGAACTTGAATTATTTTCTGGGTTACACTCACATATTCCAAAGGAGTTTAGGGACCTCCTGATTTTTTAGCTGTAGTTGTAATTGCTTTTGTCATTTTCATCAAGTCCTACTTGTCAGCTTTCTTTTCATTTGAACTGTCATATCTGATTATTTTGCTTTAACTTTGTTTAAATAGCTGTTTAAACAATATTGTAAAGTTGAGGCATCAGTGTCTTAATATGTAAACATATTTCTGCACTGCATCATTTACCAAAATGTCAGGTTCTGGTATAGAAATGCGTTGGGTACATTTTACATCATACTAATTTGCATTTCGAAACTAACAAATGAAGTGGAATTCAATTATCTTTCATTTTTGTTCTCAATTTTGTGATGCAGTCATAAAATAATACAAAGTACATTCAGAAATTAATATATTAAGAGAAAATAGCATTCCGAAATCATGTCTTGCAAAATCACATTTGCAGGAAAATTCCATTTTTAAAAATGCATATGCGAGAATAATTTTTATGCTCACTTAAAGATAACAAGCTTATAACAAAAATACACAAACCTTTTCTAGCAATAAGTATGTACAAAAATTCTCATGTTATTGATGCAAGAGTAGTAATAAGTTTATTTGGTTACACTTTCCACTACAGGTTTTTCTGTTTTACTATAACTTAATATTTCCTTGTGCCTTGGGTTTTTCCTTAGATTTAAATAAAGTTTCCAAAAATTATCTCCAAACCCTAAAATTTCATTCACAGATCTCTTGTTCCAGAGAAGGAGGCTGTCATAATTTCTTACAGTAAGGCAAGAAATTAATCCTTAAATTTGAACAATCCCTGAACAATTATATTACATACTATACATGAATGCATGCTCACTGCTCAACACATTGTTCCCTTTTGCCTTAAGCAATATTATGCAGGGTGCTGAAAAGAAAAAAAGAGTTACCCAAATACTGTATAAGTAGTCCTTGACTTACAAATACTGTATAAGTAGTCCTTGAACCCAAAATTTCTATTGCTAAGTGACACATTTGTTAAGTGAGTTTTGCTCCATTTTACAATTTTTCTTGCCACAGTTGTTAAGTGCAGTTAAGTCAGTAACATGGTTTTGATCATGTGACTATGAGGATGTTGCAATGGTCATAAGCGTGAAAAATGGCCGTAAGTCACTTTTTTCAGTGTCATCTTAACTTCAAACTGTCACTAAATGAACTGTTGGAAGAACTATCTGTAACTAAAAGTCATGAAATAAGAAAAGGCTACAACTACAACTTATACCAACACCATCACAATACCTTTCCATGCTTTTCAATCATGACAAACATCTAACCAATGCTCTATTATTCATTGTCTTTTGCTTTTTATATTTCTCCCTTCTTTCTTTTGATCCATTCGTTCTTCCTTCCTCCAAATTGCAAGCAGTAGTATGCCTGGTCAAATTTGGTGTTCCATTTAATCCACAAGGAAGCAGAAGCTGGCACAACCTTGACATGTTACCAAGTTAAATGAAGAACCTTCTTATAGTTCTAAATGTGTAGAATATTACAAATTCAAAAAAAAAAAGAAATTTAATTTGAATAGAGCTATATTGGTCTTGCAGTCTGTGCCTCTTTCATTTTTTCATATCAGCAAACCAGCTCAGCATGCTCTTTTAATACTTACTGGTCTCTCACTTTTATATCCAATCACATCCATTCATTCTCCATCCATTTTTGATCTTATTTTTCTTTGATAGGAGCATGTATAATTGTAGGTGGTTTTTTTTTTTCCTACTTCAAGGTTAGTGCAAAATCTCCATTCCCTCCCTACCCCACTAACCTGCTTTCCAGCTCCATTCTCCTTTGCAGGGCAACAAAAGAAGACCCAGCCAATCAGCTAGGGAAGCAGCGAATAGATGGGGATGGGGCCACCCAGAGGTGGTATTTACCAGTTCTCAGAACTACTCAAATTTCCACTACCGGTTTTCCAGAACCTGTCAGAACTGGCTGAATACCACCTCTGCAGGACTTATTCCCCCCCCCCCCACCAATAGCCATTTTACTTTCTTTCTCATTTCCCCCCCACATCTTTCCTTTATTCCGTGTTCATTTTTTCCAAAATCTCTTCTTGTTCAAAAATTGTTCATCTCCAATTTCGAACTCTTCATTATCTATATATTCTTCACTGGTTCTTTGTCTTTCATCATAAACAATCAAACCACATATTAAATATATACAGATTCTTTTTCTGTGTGTATATAAGTCTTATGCTTAAGCTATGTATTTGAAACAGACCTTTTTTCCTAAGCAGATACCCATCAGTCACCACTGATATTCATTTTTGAATTTCAAAATGGCCCAAACATTTTTGTTGCCTTATCTTGTTCCTCCTATATATTCATGTTATTCAGCAGAACGTTTCTTTTCTCATAAATCACACGCTTTCACCAGCACCCCCAATTCTTCTCTGGATCTTCCATTATCACCATTCACAGGAAGATAACATGCAACCATCACTGAAATACGGATTCCTATTTTCATATACACTAATTCATAATTTTTGACATACATCCGAGCCCTTCCATTCATTGTTAAGAATATAGATTCACATTCCTGTAGATTTCCATCAATCCCACAACATCCAGAATCAGCCTCCTTCAGATTTATCATATCCTTAGCCTTTCTTGGTTTCATAACAACATGCAATATTTTCTGATTTTCATTATTTATTTCATCCATTAATTCATGCTCTTTCCATTTACCCCTCTTACCATCTGAGCTTCAATCTTTAATATGCCAGGTCTGACAGCTATTAATCTCCACTGTACATCATGGCTTTGATCAATTGAAGCTTTCACAAAATTGTATTTAATAAGATAGAAAAGATGTGGACTAGTTCCCAGCAGAAGTTATAACGGTGCCAAATGCAGCAGTACATCTTTCATTGGAAGTATGTTACATGTGTAACTACAGTATGTTTTTCCCCCATACATGTTCACCCCATCCTATATAAACTAGGATCTCCAATCCAGAGACTTCCTTGCAATCCAATATATTGCCTCCATACTGCCGACAGTACAATATGCATTATACTCCAAATGGATTTTGCCCCATTGCTTCTCTGTTCTATAGTTCTCCAATTCCAATTCCAACATGGGTCAAAATTGAAGTCTATGAAACATATACTTAGCCTTATATAAGTGCAATCATTAAGAAATTCCTTTACAAAACTGTTTAAGCTTCTGTCAGAATACATAACTGTTAGTCAATTGCAGGAATCTATCCTATGTTCCATGACAATTGACACCTCTCATTATAATTATAAAAGTTCAACCAATTGCCAGCTGCCAGTAAACTAAAAAAAGGTAAGTAAAAAGGAGACATTCCTTTATCATATGTATGAAAAGAGAGTATCTGAAAGATCACATATACTACACAATAAAAAAAAAACCATTTGTATGTTTTCAGTTATGTAAATTATAGTATTTGCCAACTGGCACTGTTTTGATGAAGAGGTACATCTTTAGTTTTCTTTTATTTACACATTTTATTTACACATTTTCAAATATAATGGAGCTTTTCAAGGTGGTCCACTTTCAACTTTAAAAAAACTTTCCGAATTTTCAAGTCTGTATTTCTTTTCTTTTTTTTAAACTATTAAAATTCAAATTAACTCCCAGCATATTTACCCTGAATACTAACTTCAAATTTATTCATTCCTGCATCTGGATACAGTTTCTAAACTTGTAGGGATTGATCAAGAAAGGATCTCAATATGTTAAGGAGAAAAGGCCACTAAGATATTATTTGAAAATCATTGTTGTGATTACATTGATCCTGTAGAATTGTTTTAAATTCTTATGGTATTGTAGGAAATGACCAGGCTGATCCCAAAGGAGAGGTCAAGTGTGTTATTAGTTGTGGCTATTCTGTCTCAGTATTTTTCCATAAGACAAATCCTGCTCAGCACGTATACCTCTCAGAGCAAAGTTCACTAAGCTGACAGGAAAAGAACTGACAGGAAGAAGCTGAAGTTGATAAGATTAACTTCACAGAGGTCTGTGTCAGATAAAAGATGTGTACATGTTTATCAGTCAAAAAGTTCGTTACTTGTATCACGTAGCCTGGTCTCAAAGATAAAGTTTGTAACTTCTTTGTCTTTCTGCAATCCCCCTCACCCTCCCTCTTTGAATCAGTACAATAAAAGAGGACAGCGCAGAGCAAGCTGGCAGCCTGAACAATCCATCTGTCTCAGGCTCAGCCGGGACAATTCCATCTGCCCCAGGCGATGTGCTGCCTCACCTGAAGAAATCTTTTGTTTCGTGTCTTTCTTTCTTTGTGTTTTGCACTCACCCTTGCGAGGGCTCCACTAAATTGCTTTCTGAAAGGGATTCAGCAATCAACCAGAAGATCGAAATATAGGATCGGTCGCTCGACGCGACAATTAGTTTGGAGTCTGTGGATATCTAAGTCCAGCCTACCTTGAATCGGTTGATCTGCCAATTCGCCTTGATCATTAGTAGTTCTGATTCTTTTAGAGAGACAGCATGGATGGAATAAACTTGTATCATTTGAGCAACCTTAGTTCCTGATTTCTTGTGCCTGCCAGATCAGTTTGATACTTGAAAGTGTGAGTGCTTCATCGTTGGAGGTTTTCAACAAAAAGGGGTCTGGCATTTCTTTGGGATGGTATATGTAGTCCTCATTTTTGAACCTGTCAGTTTTGACAGCTTCCATCCATGCAATCACATGACAGCATTTTAGGTGCTCAGAACTAGCCACACGACTGCAATTTATGTCATTTTTGCCAAAAAAAAATGTGTTTACTTTCAGTTTTCAGTAAAATTGCCCTATAGTAAACAATGGATTGCAACTTTTGCTTAACAATTGGAGTGATTCTGTTAATATTTTCTGTAAAAAAATTACAATATGGGTGACCCACCATCACACTTATGACCATAATGGGCAAGTTCCATTATGATTACATGTTGAGGACTAACTGTATGGAGATTTCTCCCTTGGAATTGAATTAAAAGACCTCAAGATCCCTTCCAACTTCATGGACCAATGAAAGTTTTTTTTTTTTTTTACACAATCAATATCTCATCTTCCTAAATGTTCTGTTCACGGCACTACTAAAATATAAATATCGTAACGCTTAAAATTTATCATCTACTGGTAAAAAAAATGAGGTATTTTCTTGAAATGGGAGATCAGAGATGCCAGCTTGAATGTTATTATATTTATTAAGATATTTTCATACAACAAAAAACAAACAAAAGTAACAAGGAAAGGAGGAAAAAAGAAATGGAAAAAGTGGAAGAAAAGAAAAAGGGAAAAAAATAAAGAAATTATCTTTTTTCAGCAAATATTGAAATTTTTCATAGAATTTTCATTTTTTGAATTTTTTCATTCAATTTTCATTCATCTATGGCCCATTTCAAAATTCTGTTAGGCTGAAGATGGAACTAAACATCTCTCCTTCCTTCAACCCTAGTTTTCATTTTCAAATAGGAACAAAAGAAATATTTAGTATTATATCACTGAGTGTTGTGTTACCACTAGTTCTGACTATGGAGATTTTCAGGTAACACAACGTGATGAGAGGGGTGTTGAACTTGACCATGCCGATGAATTTGTCCAATTGCTTTGAGCCAGATTTGAAGACATGGACTCCAAAAATGAGACAACTGCTCCCCTCAAGCCAGTTGTAGTACAAGAAGAAACTCATTATGAGGTGAAAAAACTTTTGGATTCTAAGTTGTATAGAGGCAAGTTGCTCTATAGTATCTAATTCAGTATCCAAAGCTGACAATCCATTTATTTGTCACCCCCTCCTTTTCTTCCTGCTTGCCTTTGTTCTTTGTTATTGTGGGTTTTTTGCCTGTGTTTCAAATGAGTTATTGATCTGTGCAGTGCTCTATATGTGAGATTTTAAACCCAGATGGTCAGGGTTACACAGGCAGAGAAAGCTGGAATACTTAGTGGTTGAACTATTCCGTTGGTTTTAGATTCAGTCCCTGAATTTTCAAGTCAGGTTGATTATTGCGAGTTCAGTTTTGTTCAGCGTCTCGTATTGTCAATCTAAGTTCATTCTCTCTTGTTTCCCTACCAGCTTGTGATTTTAAAGTTAATAAACTCTGCCATAAAATGTATGCATTTCATGTCGTATTTCTCAGGAAGATCTCAATCTTTCCTCAATTACCCATAATATACTTTTTTCATACACAGTCTTCTTAATATATCCAATTTTGTAAGCAATTTTATCTTTTTTTTTTCCTAATACAAAATCCAGGGGAAAATATGCAATTTTTGTATAGGCCTATGTTTTATCAGAGCAAATTTATCCAAATGTGATTTACATTAAACTGCAAAATAAATAAATGATTCTCCCCTGGTAGTTATCAAGTCTCACCCCCACTTTTTTTCTTTTTTCTTTTTTGCAACATGATTGATGAAAACTGACAGCACAGTTTCTCTCCTGTCTGACATGGGGAGCAGATTAAAATAGCTGTTGTAGCTTTAAAATGCACGTTTCACAAAAGAGAAAAAAGCTAGGGAAATCTAAAAACATCTCTGTCCCAACTCAATGTTATCTGTTGGTATGATTTGATCCTACTCATTTGGCAGCCTCAAGGGGATCAGGGTTAGGAATATTAAATCTTTTACCCTTAGTCTAATGAACTATAGAATATGAATCTTGATACAGTCAGGATTTAGCTCCAGTGATCTTTTACAGTCTGCTTCATTGATTTAGCTCTACCTCGACTATCTACTTCATTGTTTATTATCTTAAACACAGGTTCCCTTCAAGGTAGAACATATCAGATTAATTGAGCGCCATTCATTCAGTCTTGGGGGTGGGAGTTTTATTAACATGTTTTTAAACTACTATCTTTTCTCCCTCATAGTGCTTCTAAGTTCCTGCTCCGTAAGAACACAGAATTGGACTAACTAAAAGCCATTTGCCATTCCAGAATTTATTCTGAACAGTCAGTCTAAGTATGCGTAGTCCTGGTCTATCATATTTTAATGACCACACAATTCCTTGCAGGTTGGACTCTGGGCAACTGAATGGAGCTGAGTGATTATTGGCCAGATGCCCTTCCTATTGTCAATGCGGAGTTATATTCTGTAGAAATATTCTCATCATGCCCAGAGAGAAATATCTGCCTCTATCTAGGATTGAACTCACAGCCTCCTGAGGGAAGAGCTCTACCTCTAGGCCACCACACCATGTGTAATACTGGTCTATAAGCTTACTTAAATCATAACCCCATAATATTTGTAACAGTAAAAGTGGAGTTGCCTTCTGCTATCCTGATGCTGATATAATGAGTTGGGAATAGAAGCCATTTTGTTGCACTAGAAGGGGATAATGTATATATTTAAAATAAAGTGTGTAAATATATAGATGTTTGGCTGCTTGCAGGATTGGTTCTACTAAGGTCTGAAGAAGTAGGATGTTCTTAAACTGTTTTTGTTGCTCTTTGGGGGGTCATTTTGAGTGCTGAGTCCCAAAGCTTTAGCTTTGAAATCCAACCCTAAACACTCTCACTGTCTTCCTGATTGTCATTTATTCTCCATGTCTATGCTTCTTATGGCACATGAGCAACCATTTCACTACCTTCGTAATAGAAGTAAAGTCAACACCAAAAAAAATGTCAATGAAGAATACGTGTTATATATTTTGTTATTTGTACAGCCCTGGTCCCATGTACACTATTAACCTCTTGGATATAAATACAGATCTCACAATAAAGCTCTCCTCAGTGTCCTTTTGAACCTTTTGATGGCTTTTGGATCCCATCAACCATAGTAGTTGGGGATTAATTGTTCAAATTTAACCTTTGACAAAACTGTTTTTTGTTAGTTAATACACAATCTTTTAGCACAAGGAGTAGAAAAGGAAAGGAAAAAATTAACCAGAACTAAATGGCTTGCTATGATTTACTGTATTTCAGCTTATATTCAACAAGTACTTAGTAACCAAAACTTCATTTGAAATGCTACTTCTCCATCCAGATGCTTTTTATTTAGCTCTAAAATAATCTGAAAGCCTATTACCTTAAGATTTGGGTCTTCCTTAAATAAGACCCTTATTTAAATATTTTAAATAAGCTTCCTCAAGAGTCTTATTTAAAATATTTCTACAATCCAAGATTTGGGATATAATTTTTTTTTAAAAAATATCATCCTTGAGAATGCCAATA